AAAAGATGATGATAATGACTATGGCCCTAGACAAGTTGTTAAAAGAAAATGGGTAAGACTCCTAAATCATTCTACAGAAAGGAGTATTCTTTTTGAACTCCTTAAAGAACTTGGCCATAAAGACCTTTTCCTACTCGAAAAGCCAGATCCAGTAATTCTAACTATTTCATAAATGCCTGAACTAATAATTCCAACAATCCTGCTAACACCAATATAAACTTTGCCTTGTATTACTATGATGAGACCTTATGAGGAAGAATTTCCTCCTCTTAATCCAGGCAAAGTATCCTATTTGTAACAAGGCTTTTGAGCCATTCAAGAAATTCATATTAGATAGATGGAGATGGGTCACTTGGTAAAATAGGCAGATGTGGTATTGGATCAAGAGATGTACACTTAAGATGAAGATCTTGAATCGAATGATTATTCATTTCAAATAAAAATTCTTTTAATTCAATTAAAGTGAAATTTTCATGTGCCATCCAGTAAGTGGCGATCTTCCATAGGTAAGCTTGGTTGGCCACATAAAGTTTTCATGTACTGTTAATGTGATATGGATGATGAAGCATAAAGAAAGAGTAGACCTTTTGTTTTTGTAGAGGGATTTTCCATAGCAATTACTTTAAACCACTAGAGAGAGTTCCTTATACCATTTGGGAATAGGTAAAAACATTCAAGGAGTTTCTATAGGGTTGATCCTTCATAAGTTGAGTCATATTGATAATAATACATCTCCAGGGGAGGAACAGCTATAACATAGATATAAAGAGAGGATAAAGACCAAATATACCACATGTGTTCATCTGTAATATGGCCTCTGATAAAAGGGACAATAAGGTTAGGAGCTTGAATATCAAAATATTTAAGTGGGGGTTAGATATGAGTTTTTCGAAGGTAGATGTGAAGCCAATAAATAAAATTTTTTTAGATAACTTTTAAACTTTTGGAACGATGGTTGGACTGTGACCTAGTAGAAAAACTAGGTTACTGGGCATAATGTTTAGAATGAAGAAGGGTGGTTTTTTTTGAAAAGGTGATGAGATTGATTTTCTTTTGAGATTTGGTGAGGTAGTATACTATGGTATTATGGTCTCCTTTGATATGTTGTACTGTGAATTTATATGAGCAAACCATTCTTTCCATTGCAGGAGTTGGGCTTTAGGGAGGATTTTTCTATTTTGATCTAGGATTTTTAGGAATGATGTGTTGTTTATTTCTACCACAAAGTGATAGAGCTGAGATGAAAGCTGAATTTTTCAATGCCACGTTTCACAGATAGGACTTCTTTATATGCTATGTGATAATGTTTTTTAGAGTTTTTGAATTCTCCATTGGCATAACCATAATAATGTCTTTTCTCATTTACTTCCTTAAGAAGTAAAGCTCCCTAAAAGTCATTACTAGCATTAGTCTATAAGATATACTATCTTTTGTTAGGGATTCAAAGTGGAGGAGGATGTTAATAAATCTATTTTATGTGTTGGATAGCTTTTGTCTAATTGAGACCCCAAGGTGATGGATTTTTTCTCAAAAGTTTGAACAGCTAGCTAGTGTGATGAGACATATGAGGAATAAGGTCTTTAATATAATTGACTATACCTAAAAACTGTTGTACTTGAGTTTTGGATAAGTTGATCAGGATAATTCCTCAACAATATGTTAACTGGGCTGATATTGTCCACCTTGAATTAGCATACCTAAAAATTCTATCTAGGTTGTGCTAATGTGTCATTTTTGAGCTGAAAGCATAATCCCGTACTGTTGAATAATCTTGTAAAATTGAGCCAAAAGGTCCTTATTCTTCTATTGGGTTTCTAAGAATAACAATATATCATTAATATAAACAAGAGCACTATAGATAATGGGCTCAAAGATTCTAATCATGGCCTTTTAGAATAGTGATGGGGCAGTCTTGAGACTAAAGAGCATGACTGTCCATTGGTATTGGGCATTTAGAATGCAAAAGGTCATTTTGTATTTGCCCACAGGATCTATTCTAAACTGCCAACATCTTACCTTGAGATCAAATTTTCAGAATATCTTGGCTCGCTTCAGAGGTACTATCTGAGTGTTAATCTTCGGCAAAAGAAATTTGTCATCTTGAAGGAAGGCATTGAGAGGTTTATAATCAATCACCAACCTCTTTTTCCCTCTTTGCTTTTCAGATCTCCTTTTTACATAAAAGGCTTGACAAGCCCAATATGATTTTGTGGGCCCAATAAGACCTTGTTTAAGCAGGGTTGTATATTCTTCTCTAGCTAAGGCAAGAACTTATGGATTCATCCCAATATGGGATGCTTTTGTAGGCTTGATATCTTCATTTTTCTTGAAAGAAAGTTTAATGAAAAATTTCTTGTTTTTCCATAGCAGAGATGGATGCTGAAATTGATTATGATTTTCACAATAAAATTTAAGAAGTTGATCCTTGATATGTTCATATCTCGAAGGAGCTCGTTGAATTTCCATAATGCTTGGGGTGTCGATGTATTCTTTGAAATCCTATTTGAAATGGATAACCCTAGGGATTATATGCAAATCTTTAGTTTTTTTGTACACATCAAATCCAACAAGGATGTCTTTAGTAGGGAGATGACTTTCAAGAACTTTCGTCCAATACGTATATCTAGGGAAAAATCTTATACCAATCTTTCTTTTAGTGATAAGATTTATCTTGAAGAGTTTATCATTAGCTATAACAAAGTACTCATTGTGAGGGAGCCATTCTTCTTGAGGGAGAATATAGGGTTTCATGACAATTCTGCAAGAGCTAGTATCTATGAAAGCAATGACAGAGATAGGGATATCATATTTAGAGGGTAGTATTTGGATTTTTACATTAGGATGTGGTAATTGAGGTGGATAAGGTGGTTGCTTAAGATTTATAAGACTTGTGGGTATCGGTTTTAGAGGAGATGGGTTAAGGCTTTGAATTGGGCCAGGCCCAATAATAAAGAGAGGTGGGTATTGATAGGGATACTGTTTATCATTTGAGCTATCATCAAAGATTGGTAAAACATAGCGAGTATCTTCATCCTTTTCTAATTGTTCTTCAAGAATGGATTCAAGATCTTGATCAGCATCAAGAAGGATGACAGTCTTAAGGGATTGTAATAGTTTCATATCTTTTTTAGATTTATTAGAATATCTTTTTGCAAAATGTCCTTTTATCCACAGATAAAGCATCAGCCTGATCCCTTAGTTTTTGAAGTTCTTTGCTTGAAGAAATTAAAGGAACGTCGTCTTTTTGATTTAAACAGTTTACACTTGTATTTATGGCAATGATTTTTCTTTTTGTAGGAGTAAAGATTAGTTTCTTTGCATTTGATCTTTAGATAAGGCTTTTTATAGGCTGATTGGAGTTTTGGCTTTCTTTTCAACATGAATTTTAGAAATTGTTATTGCTTATAAAGCTTATTTAGGGTGGACAAAGCTAGTTGACATATTTCTCCTGGAGAGATTTGCAACATATCTTTCCTTAGTGTATTAATTGCTCTGTGTAGTTCTAGCTATAGTTCTTCTGGTAATAAAGCAATGAATGTATGCTTGACATTAACATCATTAGCACTATTTAATATATACCATTTTTCAAACATTCATTAGAAATGCTTTTGAAGATCTTGTCGATCAAGTAAATAACACTATCTCAAAAAAACTCCTGTCTGCTTCTTTTATCAATAATATTGAAATCTCTAAGAAATTCCTTATGGATTGCTATAAGGAATTGAGAAGCATTAAGCTGAGTAGTGCTAATCTTGTCAAATTCGTTAAGACTTTAGAACCATTCTCTCAAATTTCCAATCATCCTTGTGAGGAATTCTGAAAGAACTTCCATATAGTAACATCAAATCTAGTCATTTGTAAGTCAATCCAAGCACTAAATTCCTAGAGTCTATCTCTCTATTTGTATGGAGGCAAGTCATCAAATGTGAACTAGGGTCCAGGTGCAGGTCTAAAATTAGAATCTTGATGGAGGGGTTCATATTGAACTCTTTCCATAGCTTCAGATTCTGCATCAGGAGGATTTTCCACAACTGTTTCTATCCTAGTTTCTCCCTGAGTTTGTTGTTGATGTGTTCGAGGTTAGACCATTGCAATTTTCGATAAATAAACTAGGTGTTGATTTGTTTTAGAATTCGTGTATTCTATGCAGGCCTTGATTGAAGCCACAGAGTTTATCTTTTCTTGTTCAAAGAAAACCTAGTCAAAAACAGCATTTCACATAGAAGCAATAGTTTCAGAGGGATTTGAGGGATCTTCAATCCCTTTGAGTTTTTTAAATGTGGCTGGTGGCTTGGTCTTTAGAGATGGAGGTGGTGACTTTATGATTAACGATTTTTTTGTGATTTTGGTAAATGATGATAAAGCTTAATGATCTTGAGGTTCTTCGTAAGATGGTGGATTTTAGGTCACAGATTTTTTGGTTTTTAGAATGGTTGTTTTTGGGCTTTTCTAAGATTATTTAGAAGAAAATGTTTATTTTTTCTTAGAATAATATAATTTTTAGTCCTTTAAGTTTTCAAATTTAATTTTTATCAATTTAGTTTTTTAAATTTATTTTGATTACTGACTTGGTCCTTATTATTTAAAAAAAATTATATTATTGAATTTGTTAACTCAAATAATAAAATATTGATAATAACTATGTAAATTAGTAAAAATGAGTATAATTATTTAGATAGAAAAAAAACCGACTTTGAAATTTTAAACAAGAGAACAAAATATATTATAAGGGATTATATTAATAAAAATCAAACTCATTCATATTAACTTATTTTTATTTAGTTACACACATATATATATCAAATTATTAATATGCTTTACCTTTTCAATCTTAGAGGACTAAATTAATATATGAGATAAATTTAAGCAAGTAAAAGTTTCACTAACCCTACTTTCTTCGGTTCTTCGGATTGGAGGGATCAAACCTGTACTTATACTTTTTTGGCCTTGGCAAAAAGAAATACAAAAAAGAAAAAATGTTAAATCATATTGCATCATATTTCCCTGAAATTCAACATGCATCCAGCAATTCGGTCTCATCCCTCATGGGACCCCAACGTCCACTTGTTCTACTAATTGGAAGGAGGAATAGAAGCGGTGGCGAGGAACGATGGCGTCCGAAATTTCTACTTGATGCATGGTGCTGAAAATGAAGCTAGAACACTAGATAACCTTTAAAAACTTGCTCCGCTCTCTCTTCTCTTCTCTTTTGACCCATTGGAATCTTCATGTAGTGATGTTTTAGTGCTTCTCAATTCTGGACAGAAGTGGGAATTTAGAAAGTGCGAACATTCATTGTTGGAAGGTAAGCTTCACAATTGGGATTTTCAGATTGTGGGTTTTATTGGAGAGTTGAATCAAGCCATTTTTCAGCATAGCGGTAAAATCCTTCCCACCATTCTGGCGTCATTTTGAGTTCTGAGTTGCATATATAAGGATCAGTTTGGTTGTTAGCCGCAATATAGCAGCAATTGAAGCTAGGATACAAGGGATGAAGAAAACGTGTTAAAGCATTGTGAGTCATAAGATAAATACCCCTTCTTACTCAGTTTTCTAATTTATCTTTCGATTTGCTCACCTCTAAATCTGTTCTGTTCTGGCCAAAACGGTGGAAAGCAAATTGCAGTGACTGTTGGAAGCATGGTAATGTGGTAATTGGAGGCAGTAATATTGAGTTATGTGGTAAGTTATTTCCAACTTTTCCCATCAATGATTATGCTGAAGATATGGTAAATATGAGCTGTTACTGATTGGAAATTTTGCGGCACTGTGATGTTATTGAACTCTTGTTCTTGATTGTACAAATAAGGTGGCTTGGTTCTGAACTTGAATTGTATAGCAAAGAAATTTGGATTCTGCTTTTGGTTATATGTTGCTCATTGTGTTTCATTATGGGCTGCTGGAATTTGCAGCAAGTAACAGCTTTAATTGGTGAAAGAGTAAAGGAAAAAAGGAAGAAACTTGAGGTAAGAATTTCTTATTTGTCTTTGGCTAGTTCTGGTCCTTCTGGACAGTTTCGGGGACATAATTGTTGTTGCAACATATCTTTTATCATTTGAAGCTCTTATGTCTATGAACATTTTGTATCTTGTTTAAGGTCTTTGTAGGTGAAAAATACATATAAACGAGGTTAGAATTAGTTTGGGTGCATGTGTGATTCTTGGTCTATCAAAATGTTATAATTTTGTATTAAAAGAATTGAGGGATCAAATCAGAACAAACAGCATGTTAAATTTCATGAGATTTCGAGATGGCATGGGAGCCAAGATCTATTCTTGAGGTGCACTTAATTTCTGTTCAAACCATTTTCAAGAAGTTTGAGGTTAATAATGATTTAGTTTCTTTCTACATAGAAGACATGCTTTTCTGACTAACAGTTTAGATATGTAGTTAAGATTTGGCGATTCCTGAATGTCCGATTTCATGAGTTTAGGCGGCCTATCTCAAAAATATGAGCCTGTATAACTCGTAGGGAAATTGAAACTAAGAATAGGCGCTGCTTGGACTTGTTTATCTTGTGGCATTGAGAATGGGGTGGTGGCTCCACTGTTTCTGTTCTTGAACAGGATGTTGTATGATGAGGCCATGGCACTAAAATGCTAGGTCAGTTTTGTGAAGAAAAATAGGACTTTCTTAATTATTTTAATTATGTTATAAAAATGGTTCAATGTTTTTAGAGGTAAGCAAACTAAAAGGTGATAAAAGAACTTACTAACAATCTGAATAGAATGAAACTGTTAAAGCAAAAGCTTATCATCCTCTAGGAATTTTGAATGCAAAATTGGGAGTTGCTTTAAGAAAACAATTGGTGGTATTTTTTCTTCATCTCGTCTTTGCCTTTATTGGAGATAGTCTTTCCCAAATAACATAGATCCAAGTTATAAATTATTCCTCAAATACTTCTGATTAGAGTCCACAATTTGTTGGCCAAAATTGACAAGGTAGATTCTCTTTATCTTTCCTTGACTTGTTTGCTACTTCATGTGAGGGTCAAAGATATATGAAGTTGTAATACATTTAGAATACTTACCAACTTCTGATACACTTACGATAATTTGTAAGAGTCCAATGTATCTTAGGCTTAATAGTTTTCTGGAGTCAAAGAGATTTACCTACTTTCATAATAGGAGTGAAGCACACGCACTTTCAAATGGCTTCATCCTTTTGCCTTAACATGCTTTTACTTAAACATTCTGAATAGTGAACATTTTTCCCTTGGATTTTCTTAAATTAGATTGGATCTTAATAATCTTCTGTTGCCCCCAAGAATCAACAGTGGGGTTATCTATACTTCTCACTGCTTGTGAGGTGCCATCCTAATACTAGGACGAAATCTATTGTTATATGAAAATTATGACACACACACACACACACACTTTTCCTAATTTTATTCTAAATCTGTTGTTTAAGACAATATGACTAATTAAGTAAAATGTGCAGTTTAGAACTTTTCTTATTATAGGTTTTGGGCAAGGTTATTTAGGGTGTAGGTGGACATAACTATTAAAAAGTGATCATAATCAATTAGTCTATCTACACCTATCCAGTTAGCTTCAAATCTCAAAGGTTACTTAAGCAAATCACATGATAAAGTCCATGAATATACTGTTCTTGTTTTACACAGGCATATCTAATCTAAGTATATAAAAATTCTGTGGGTTTTGATATCTAATCTTATTATTATCTTTTAAGTTTTTTGAAGAAAGGTGAATATCTTATCTTAATCTTCTAAAGTGTCAGATGTTAAGAAATATTTGTACATTGTCCGATTTCATTTTAGGGTCCCACATATGTTTACTAGGATCATAAGTGAGAATATATGTTTCTTTCAAATTACCCACTTTAGGTTAGAGCTAGTAATTTGGGTCGGCCGAGCTTATTCAGGCCGGACTTATTCGTATCGGGTCTAAAGTGTCCTGTCCTCTTTAAAAAGCCCACATTACCAAGCCCGACCCTAACTTTTTTCGACCGAGTTTGGCTTGGCCAGTCGGGCTTAATCAAATTGCCAACTCTATATACATATAGAGTTGGAAATTATTCCAGCGGTCAGGTTTATTCGGGTCGGGCTTAAAGTATCATACTCTCTTAAAAAGAACTTATATAGCCAAGCTCGGTTCTACCTTTTTTCGTGTGGGTTTAGGGTGGGCTGTTGGATTTGGCCTAAATTACCAGTTCTACTTTAGGTATGCAGTCTATTTTTAATATAATCTTTTGTTTCAATTTATTCGCTTTTGTGTTCTCATGAAAAGGCATAAAGATCTAGGTTCTTAAATCCTCAATAAGCAGATACTCCCTAAGTATTACTTGTATGAACTTCCATTTTGGGATTTTGCAAACTATATATGCCTTGCCTCAAAGATTTTTCTTGAGGGTAAAAGTCATGATCTTAGTAAAAATTATTCCTAAGACATTGCATTGAGCATTAAATGATACCTCATAATCTTCAAAGCAAATATCATTGTAGTAAGTTCTAAATCTTGGGTAGAGTAGTTCCTGTCATGTCATAATGCCCTCTAAAAGGGGGAATTTTTTCTATTAATTAGGTGATTAATTATTAGGCATTATAGGAAATTTTTCTACAATTTGATTGGGAGATCATAATTTTTGTACAATAATAGTAATTGTCTTGACTATTAATTAAATATAATTGACAATAAATATTTAGAGGCCTTATTTCAAGAAAATGAGAGTCCTATCATATAATGGGTACCTTGAAGATTAAAAAGAAAAAAGAAAAAGAAAGGGGAAGCTGAAGACCAATAGAGTTTAGAGATATAAATAGGGGCAAAGAAGAGATTCGAATTAAAAAGTATAATTTAAATTTTTATCGAATTCATTTAATTTAAATTTAATTAGGCTGGACTACAAATTAAGCCTAAAATAATTTAGATATCAGAGTCTATTATTTGCCACAATTAAATTATGCTACTAAAAGAGAAGAAATTCATATGGTTCTTGTTTGACCACTTTTAGAAATACCAATAGAGTTTAGAGATGTAAATATGGGGAAAAAGAGATTTGAATTAAAAGTATAATTTAAATTGTTATAGAATAAATTTTGATTAAAATTTAATGAGACTGAACTACAAATTGAGCCTAAAATAATTTAGATATCAGAGTCCACTATTTGAAACAATTAAATTACGGTACTAAAACAGAAGAAATTCTTATGGTTCTTGTTTGACCAATGTTAGATGTTCAAAAAGCTACAACAACAACAACAAGCCTTTATCCCACTAGGTGGGGTCGGCTACATGGATTGCAAGACGCCATTGTGCTCTATCATTTATCAAGCTTTTAGGAATATTATTAAGAGATCGCGTTCAACAACTTCCAAGAGTGTTCTCTTAGGCCTACTTCTACCCCTCTTAATCGGACTCAAAGTTATATGTTCCACTCTTCTCACTGGTGCCTCCCTTGGTCTTCTTTGTACATGCCCAAATCATCTCAACCGATTTTCTACCATTTTTTCCTCAATAGGTGCTACCCTCACTTTTTCGCGTACGTGCTCATTTCGAATTTTATCTTTATGTGTATGTCCGCACATCCATCGTAACATTCTCATCTCTGCTACTCCAACTTTATGCTCTTGCTGTCCTGTTAGAGCCCAGCATTCACTACTATATAACATTACCGGTCTGATAGCAGTGCGATAAAACTTTCCTTTAAGTTTATTAGGCACCTTACGGTCGCAAATAACTCCTTTAGCTTTTCTTCAATTAAACCACCCAGCTTGAATCCTATGTGAAATATCTCCACTGATTTCGCCATCATTTTGAATAATGGCTCCCAAATATCTAAACTTTTCCACTTGAGGTGTAATTTGATCTCCCAATTTCACTTCGAAATTATTGTCGAATAATCTCTTACCAAATTTACAATATAAATATTCCGTCTTACTCCTACTCAGATGGAAACTTTTCGACTCCAATGTCCTCCTCCATAACTCAAGTTTGCAATTAACCTCTTCTCTTGTCTCTACTATAAGAACTATATCATCCGCAAGTTTTAATAAATTTATTTTGTTAGGATTACCTTTATAGACTTTTTTCCCAACTTCACTTTGCAAACAATTGTTTGTAGAAACTTCAATTTTGAAAATGCCAGTCCAAACCTATACTTGAACGTTTAATATGCCTCCATTGAACATTGACATTGTATTAATAACAGAGTATACAATAATTTGACTATAATTTTTATGTTTTGTAAGTCTAAAGCAGAGGATAGTGCACTCAAAATTATTTCACTCAAATCGTAATAGACATTACCCTTATGATTATGTTTGAAAACTTTTACTTAAAAAAAAAAAGACTGTGTTTGGAAACATAAACTGTATCTATAAAAAAAATAAATAAATAAATAACAAGAGAAGCGTGGGGAGGGGAATACACGGGGAAAAAGGCAAGGTAAATAATATTAATGGGTGAAATGGTATTTTTACTTTTGAACTATTTCACGGGAAGCATGGGGTGTCCTAAACTATTTATTTGAGCAATGTGACCCCTTAAGTGTTAAAATTACTGCAATGTCATCCCTTGATTAACACGTATTGATGTTAACTGTTAATTTTATATTAACATTGGATTAAAGGGCAATTTTTCCCTTAAAGTATTCATAAAGGGGTAACTTGCATCTTAAAGTTCAATAATGTGGAATAGTTGACATCCCTATTTTTTTAATTGAAACATGCCACATTATTTTTAAGGTGTCACATGGTTTGCCAGCCAGGTATTTATTAGTAAAAAGAAAAAAAAAGGGTATGTTATTATGTACTAATGTTCAATTAATAGCACTATTACAAGTTATATCTATCTATACTATCATAAGTTATATAGGTACCATTAGTCAGTGATGTATTTAGTCAGGATAGACGCATATAATTTGTGGCAATACCATCAACTTATAGTTAATGTGGGCTGACAAAGCTTTTTTTTTTTTTTTGACTCAGTGAGTCCTTGATGTGCAAGCCAAATGGCATCCATCTGTTTCTCATATTTTTTAACCAAAACATGTGCATCATGTCTTAATGTTGACCATTAGTGTAGATTAAGATTTTTTTTCTTGATTGACAAGTGTCTGATTAGCAAATTATGATAGACATATATAACCTGAGACAATGTTGTTGATTGATTGTTAATTAGGGTTGATAGAGTCTTTTTAATGATGAATACCTGGTTGGCAAAACATTTGCACCTTAAATATCATGCCATATGCTTGCTGCATGTTTAAATGAAAAAAGTAGGGGTACTAATTCACATTATTAAACTTAGGATACTATTTATTCCTTCATAAATACTTTAGGGATGAATATGCTCTTTAGCCTAAAGTTAATGTAAAGTTAACAGTTAACGTCAATATTTGTTGGTTAAAGGGCAACATTGCAATGATTTTGACACTTGAGGGGTGATATTGCTCCAATAAGATAGTTTAGGGTGTTCAATGCTTCTTGCGAAATAGTCGAGAGGAAAAAAATGCCCTTTAATGCTAATACTAATCCCTCATACACTGTAACATGTCAGATAAGTATTTTGGTATTGTAAAAATAACTTGATTTACAAATAGGTGAATGCTAAGTTGAAATGGATTGTAATGTCATACTTTTCCATGGGAAAAGCATTGGAAAGTAAATTTCATATGTTTCTTCATTAATTAAAATTAATCTTGTTCTTCTCTTGATGATATGTGTATAATCAAAGGTATGAAAATTGGTCAAACAAATTGAATTCACATGTTATAATTATTTTTATGTAAAGAAGTACATTCTGTTTTGCTTAAAGATTAGACAAAAAAATGCATGGTACTCCATATGTGTAAATAAACAAAACTAAAGATTTGAGGGTAACATGTAGTAGTCCTCCATTAATACATGAACAATGTAAGTAGAAAACAACTAAGATTGAATTTAAGGATGCTTTTCCTCATGAAAAATTTAGTTGAATTCATGTATCCTTCCGGATACAATAAGTTTTGTGCAACCTCTTAAGTTGACATGTATATTGTAATTTAGTTTCTGTATAATGTTCAAAAAGAAAATCATTAAACAGTGGTACTATCATAGATGAGGAGGTTGTGATGGTGACATTAGGGCTTGGGCAATTGGGATACCATTGTAAGTCTAGACTAGGAACGGAAATGCAATAGAATCTTATCTTGATATGTATATAGATGGAATTGGTGCCAATTTGCATGTTACTTTTATGTGTCATCATCTCATGCATGAGTGGAATAAGAAGAATTGAGACTAATCTTAATATTATATGTTTATTATGCATTAGGAAAATGGCACCAAGAAGGCGAAGTCAATCTAGCAAATCAACTAGAAACTCATCTGATAGGAGTTTGATTAATGCTATTGAAGGAATGGCTGTTGCAATGCGAGAGCAAGCAGAAGCAACGGCTACTGCCAGCAGAGAACAAACTACCGCTACTGCACGTTTGGTCTAGATGTTTCAGGACCCAAAGATGAGGATTCAAATCCTGTTGAGAATCAAGAAGGGGATCTAGAAGAACAGTTGCCTACTAATGAAACATATAATGCACCAAATTCTATGCAAAACCAAAATTTCTATGGTTTGGTTGAATTTAGGAAGGCTAAGCCACCATCTTTTCAAGGAGGGTACAATCCTGATGTTGCAGATGAGTTATTGGAGCACATGGAGAAAATTTTTGAGTTTATGGGATGTTTTGATACCTAGAAGGTATCTTTTGCAACTTATATGTTGGTTGGAGAAGCATACAATTTGTGGAAGGAGACTAAACGGACAATGGAAGCTCATGAAGTGGAAATCACTTGGGAAGGATTTAAGATGTCTTTTCTTGACAAGTATTTTTTGGAGAACGTGAAACATGAGAAAGAAATTGAATTTTTGCATCTGGTTCAAGGGATGATGACCGTGGATCAATATGTTGCCAAGTTTGAGATGCTGTCAAAGTACTCATCTTTCTTACATACTAATCCTGCCAAGTCATAGAAGGCTAGGGAGTTTGAAGTAGGATTGAGATTTGATATTCAAAGAGCAATGATTGCAATGGAGATACAAGATTTTACTATACTAGTGAATAAGTGTAGAGTTGTGGAGAAGCAGTTGATGGAGGTTGAATGGGATAAGCAAAGGAAGAATTTTTGGAACAAACGCAAAATGGGCAACCTTCAGAAAAAGAACTTCAAACCCTTAATCAATTACAAGAAAAGTAGGACTTTAACCCCTTATAGCAAATGTGGTAAATCACACAAGAATCAACATTGCTACCTTAGTCAAAATGTTTGCTACAAATGTGGGAAGGCTGGCCATTATATGAAGCAATGTCCAAAGAATAAGGGTAAGGCACTTGAGGGGAAGAATTCTATTCAAAGGCCAATGACAAAAGGGAGGGTCTTTACTATGAGTGGAAAGGAAGCAAAGAAATCCACGAACCTGGTACAAGGTACATGTTTTGTTGATGATGTTCTTTTACTTGCACTATATGACTCTGGAGCTACACACTCATTCATAGCTATTGGTTGTGTGAAGAGATTAGGATTACCTGTGAGTGAGTTACCATATCAATTACAAATTCCTACTCCCACGGGGGAGAAGGTTTGCACTATACATGCTTGTTTAAATTGTTCTATTCAGGCTGAAAATCAATCCTACCTTTCTCACCTTGTTTGTTTACCATTAAATGATGTTGGTGTTATATTTGGCATGGACTGGTTAAGAGAAAACCAAGTGACTATTGATTGCACCAGAAAGCTTGTCATCTTTCCTTCCTTCCATGCGCCACAATTAACTCATATTACTGCCTACCCTAAGAGTATATGGAGGTGGATGAAGAAGATGCAAGAAGAACTCCCTTAAACCAAAAAGAGATGTTAAAAGTCAATGAAATACTAATTGTTAGAGACTACCCAGATGTGTTTCCTTCGAAAATAACTATCTTGCTTAGAGAAAGAGATGTTGAGTTTGCTATAAATCTTATCCCCGGAGTTAGTCCTGTTTCCATGTCACCTTTAGAGTTGAAAGAATTGAAGGTTTAGATAGAGGTTGTCTTAGGCTATGTTTGGTTGGAGGGAAGGGGAGGGGGGGGAGCCCCCCTAATTTGGGGGGGAGATTTTGGAGGGGAGGGACCAAACAAAGGCAGGGAAGCCCCTCACCTCCTCTCGTAAAATAGAGGGAGGGAAAATTTTTTTGCCTCCCCACCCCTCTCCTCCCTCCAACCAAACACTACCTTAGAGAAGAAGTTTATTCAACCTAGTGTGTGTCACCTTAAGGAGCTCTTGTTTTATTTGTTAAAAAGAAGGATGGAAGTCTTAGACTATGTATAGATTATAGACAGTTGAATAAGATATCCATCAAGAATAAATACTCACCTTCTATGATAAATGATCTTTTGGATCAATTGAGAGGAGCCTCTATCTTTTCAAAGATTAATCTTAGGTCTGGATATCACCAGATTAGGTTTAAGGTTGAAGATATGCTAAAGACAGCTTTTAGAACTCGATATGGACATTATGAATTCTTAATAATGCCTTTTGGGTTAGCTAATGGTCCAGCTGTATTTTTGGATTATATGAATCGAATTTTTAGACCCTACCTTGACCAATTTGTGGTTGTGTTCTTAGATGACATTCTTGTTTATTCAAGGTCAATAGAAGAACATGAGGGACACCTTCGCCTGGTATTACAAGCTTTAAGGGAGAAACAATTGTTTGCCAAACTAGAAAATTGTGATTTTTGGTTGAAAGAAGTGAAGCTTTTATGATGCATAATCTCAAGCAAGGGCGTGTCAGTAGACCCTAAAAATGTAAAAGCAATCCTGGAGTGGAAAAAAAACCCAATTTAGTTGTAGAAATTAGGAGCTTCCTAGGATTAGCTAAGTTTTATCGTAGGTTCATCCATGGGTTTTCACAGATTGTCTTACCTTTGACTAGGCTAACTCGAAAAGGAAATCCATTTATGTGGACCAATGAGTATGAAATTAGTTTCCAAACTTTAAACGAAAAGTTGACTACCTCTTCAGCTCTAATTCTCCCTGATCCTAAAAGAAGATTTGAGGCATATACTGATGCTTCTAAAAGGGGCTTAGGTTGTGTGTTGATGCAAGATAAAAGAATTGTAGAATATGCTTCTAGACAACTTAAGTCTCATGAAGAGAATTACCCCACCCATGATTTGGAATTAGCTACAATAATGTTTGCATTAAAGATTTGGTGACACTATTTGTACAGAGCTGACTTTGAAGTATTTAGTAACCATAAAAGTCTCAAATATTTGTTTGATCAAAAGAAATTTAGCATGAGACAAAGAAGGTGGATGAGACTCTTTAAGGACTATGAATTCAAGCTTCAGTTTCACCTGGGGAAAGCAAATGTTGTTGCTGATGCTCTTAGTAGGAAGTCCTTACACATTGCCTCCATGATGGTAGAAGAAGCTAAAATGCTAGAATATTTTAAAGACATTAGACTCTTTATGATTGTTTTACCCTAAAGCCTGCACTTAAGTGAATTAAAGGTAGAGTGTGACCTGAAGATACAGATCAAAGAGGCCCAACAACAAGACCAATCCTTGCAAGATCGACAAGGGTGCCAAGATTTTTCCCAAAGCATTGATGGGACCATCATGTTTCAAAGGAGTGTGTGTCCTCGAGATAAGAGAACTCAAACAAAAAATCCTAAAAGAGATTTATAGGAATAGTTACACCATTCACCCTGGATCCACTAAAATGTATTAAGATTTGAAAAGGATGTATTGGTGGCCAAGTATGAAGAAAGAAATTTCTGACTTTGTATCTAAGTGTATGGTATGTCAAAAACTCAGTATCAAGAATCAAAAACTTTCTGTTCTTCAACACCTAGAAATTTTTGAGTGGAGATGGAATGATATTATAATGGACTTTGCCATGGGGTTACCTCAAACACAAACCGGTAAGGATGCCATTTAGGTTATAACTGATCGGTTAACCAAGTCTGCCCATTTTTTGCCTGTCAAGATTGATTACTCCTTAGATAAGCTTGCCTAGTTGTATGTGCAAGAGACTGTAAGTTATCATGGTGTGCCTTTAAGCAGTCTTTGCTAGGGATCCCATATTTATTTATAGATTTTGGGAATCTTTACAAGAAGTTTTTTGAGCTAAGATACATTTGAGTACTTCTCAGACTGATGGTGAATCAAAAAGAACAATTCAAACTTTTGAAGATATGCTTAGAGGTTGTATTTTTGATTGAGGAGAGAATAGGGAAAGATATATACCATTGATGGAGTTTGCATATGACAATAGCTATAATTTCTTTATTGGGATGGCATCCTATGAAACTCTCTATGGTAGAAAATGCCAATCACCTTTGTGTTGGTCTGAGGTTGGTGAGAGAAGATTGTTTGGTAGAAAAAAATGTTGACCACTCAAAGTAGGCAAAAGAGTTATGTTGATGAGTTGGAGGAAGTAGTGCATGTATTCTTAAAGATCACTCCAACTACTAGAGTAGGCAGATCCAGAAAATCCCAAAAGTTGAATGCAAGATAAATTGGACGATTTCCAATCACTAAAAGAATTGGACTTGTAGCCCATCAAATTGCTTTATCCCTTAAATTGTCCAATCTTCATCCTGTGTTTCATGTATCTCAACTTCGAAAGTGTATCCTTAATCCTTCACACATTATAGTGGAAGAGTCAGTGCAAGTGACACCAAATTTGAAGTATGTGCCCAAACTTGCCAGGATTGTGGATATTGATTAAAAAAAAAAAAAACTCTTGCGGAATAAGACTATCTCTCTTGTAAAAGTCTTTTGGGAAGGATTGCACCCATCACAAGTGACATGGGAAACAAAAAAGCAAATGCAAAAGGAATATCCTGAATTATTTGACCAAGGTAATTATGTTTTTTGAAGTTAAAATTCTTGCAAGGTAGGAAAATTTTTTAAATCTTCTCTAAAAAGGAATCTCATCTACTATTTAGTTAAATAATTATTTAGAATAATTATTTCTGTGCAATAAATAGTAGTAATTATGTAAATTATGAAAATTGATTGATAGTAACAAATAGTAATAAGGATATAATTTTAAATGGAAAGATTATATGAAAATTTTATAAAGATAACAAATAATAACTAAATAATAAAATTTGAAAGCAGGATAATTTGTTTTGTTAATTCATAAAGTTTCAACAAAAGAATTGTACATTGTGCATATCATTCATATTCTTTAATGCATGAAATTTGTATCGAAAGGCAAGTTCTTGTTTGTATTGTGGATAGAAACCACGTGATGTTTTCATGTTGTGGATTATTTGAAGGGAAGCTCTTATGTTATTCTCTTGATACACAGATCATACTTTCTATGATGATGATGTGACTGAATATTGATGGTGGATTTTTTTTTTAATCCCCAATAAATGTCTTACATGTCTTCCATTTCACCTTAATCATTGGAGTTTCTTTCATAGAAAGTCAGTGCATAAGAGTATGGGACGTTGTACAATGAGCCTGGTCATTTAGAAAACAGAGTCTAGGTTTAGGGAACATAGATACAGAATTATGGGAAAGGACTAGAATATGGTTAATTTTTTACCAGTTGCATGGTTACATAATTGTTAGTCATGATAAAACTCATTACACATGCTAATAACAAGAGTGATTAAGGTGCCAAAATATCCAATAACATTTTTTCTGGCAGTTTTTGGTATTCTTAAGTCAATAATGGTGGATGAGTATCCATTAATTTCATTAAAGAGACCAACCTTCTCCAATCTATTAAAATAATATGATGTTGATTAAGTTTTAAGGACAGAACTTAATGGATTAGGGAATGTTGGCATCTTTTATAAAGTTAATGGGTACTTATGTATCATTGTTAACTTGAGGATACTAGAAGCATTTAGTGAAAAAGTTTATGGGTATTTTTGTATCTTAATCTTAAGAAAAAAATTGTGATTTTTGCATGGGGCAGCCAAATCATTATTTGTTCTAAAATGTTAGATCCTATTGACTAGAATTTCGTAGTTTCCACTTTGTTTTCATTTTCGTGATCTATTCAGGTGCTGATACTCTGGATCGTTTTCAAGGTTGATTGTCTACTCTGCCATCATCATGTGGGGTTTTTATGCGAATAAGTTTGGGATTGTGATTTTGGATGTAACATAATTCTAATCCTTCATGCACCATAACCCCAAGGTGTAAGACAATTATGTAATGTGTTATTTTGATGTCATATGTATAAACTGTAGAACTCTGACAGACATATCGTGTCTCTTTAAAGCAATAATGCTTTTATTACAAGAAAACAAGATAGCTAAATGAAACATAATCTAAATTACAAGAAAACAAGAAACATAAATGAAACACAATCCAAAAACATAATCCAAAATTATTCTAATTATTTTTCAACCAAACTTGTCTAATCCTGATTTTTAAAGAAATCAACCATCTCTAAGTGTGTCATAGCATCAAAGCCATTAATATCATCCAACTCATTGATATCATCATTTTTGTATACAAAATTTGCCTCAACATCATCATTTTGAAAAGTGAAATTTGATTTCACAGTATTTGAATTTCTTTTGATGGAGGCTTGATAAAACTTTACTAAATGCTCAAGCGTACAATAGATATGTGACCAATTCCCCTTCATACCACACCAATAACACTGATTTTCAGTAGCTTTTGGAGGATCGCTCTAATCTTTTTTTTGCCCTTCATTATTTTTCTTCTTTTGGTAGGTATTAGGATTATAACTAATACTACCGCCGCCGCCATTATAATGGTAGTTAGCATGTCCCCTGCTACGACCACATCCATGGCCACGGCCATGACCATGACCACTAATTACTACGCATAATCACATTTGCTTCAGGGAATGGAGCTGATCCAGTGGAATGGATTTTATGATTTTTCATTAGCAACTCATTATTTTGTTTAGCCACAAGAAAACAAGAAATTAATTTAGAATATTTTTTAAAACCCTTTTCATGATATTGCTGCTGTAAGAGTACATTTGAAGCATGAAAAGTTGAAAATGTCTTCTCTAATGGTCCTCATTATTGATTTTCTCACCATATAATTTTAATTGAGAACTTATTTTAAAAACTGCTGAATTATATTCACTTATAATTTTAAAATCATGTAACTTCAAATGCATCAATTCATATCAAGATTTAGGTAAAATTACCGTTTTCTAGTGGTTATACCTTTCTTTTAGGTTAATCCACAATTCTAGTGGATCTTTTATTGTAAGGTATTAAGCTTTTAGCCTTTCATAAAGATAATGATGAAGGAATATCATTACCTTGGCTTTATCTTGATTACTTGCTAGATTTTTAGGTAAAATTGCATTTCCTAGTCCTTTGATGTCTAGGTGAATTTTAGCATCTAACACCTATGATAGATAATTCTTTATCATAATATCAAGAGCCGTAAATTCAAGTTTGGTAAGATTTGTCGTGATTCAAACTAAAGTAATAATAACAACTAGAATTATGATAAAATTAATAAATAAAGCATAATAAATAATTATTATAGTAAAAAAAAATATTTCACACACACATGCTAAAATATAATTTATAATGAAACACAATAGAAAGAGGCACAATATAAAGAAACACAAATATAAATAACCAAACTTACTAAACAAATAAAGCATAATAAAGATAAATAAATGTAATAAAGCAAATAAATTGATGGATAAAGCAAATAATTTATATGATATTAACAAATAAAATAAATTATATTAACAATATAAATTGATCAACACATGCACAAACACAACATGTATAATATTTATATCTAGTATTAATTTAATGGAAGACTAAAACAATAATAAAAATAATAAAGAAATAAATAATAAAGCATCAAAGATGAAGAAGAAGAATGATGACGACGACATCAAATACATAAATAAAAAAATAAAAAATAAGTATATCAATCTTCATAAAATATATAATAACAAATAATAAAAATAAAGCAATGGATGGTAAATAAGACTTGATTAAATTAAATCACTAATCAAATGATTATTTTTATATAAATAAAATGAAAAAAATTAAACTTACTTTATAATTAAGAAAATAAAATGATGGGATAATAAAACAATAAAATATAAGAATAACATCATCATGAATGTCAATAAAATAACAATATAAAATATAATTACATATATAATATAAGAACACATTAATCTAACTAAAAGCTCATACCTTATTTTCAGAGCTAATTCGTGTTGATAACATGTCGTAAAATCTAATTAATATGGAGAGTAGAAAAAGACAAGATAATACAAGAAATGGAGAGAAAACAATAAAGAAGAATTCTCATTTATTAGTACACCTATGCTTTGGACATGACATCTACTTATAGGCCTCCAACCATTCAAATATTATCCTAATATTATAAAAATATAATGAGGTATATAATGGTGTATTATGTAACCTTTGAAGGTTATAATAAGATATTAAGAATAAGAAACTTCTTCCATATCATTCATGAGAACATTAAAAGTAAAAGAATCCTAAAGACTATGTTATGAATATTATATTTATAATATAATATTATATTATAGTTATGAATACCTATAATATAATATTTATAATAATTTATATAATTTAAAATTTTTTATTATCATTTTCTCAACTTAATTAACATTAATTTGTGTAAGGTACTTACGTGCAATTTATGGGTCTTTTTTGTAATTTTGCTTCCCAGCTGCAATGATTGAGTCCGTGACTTCAAGATTGGCCATGTGTGGCTTCATCGGGAAGCCAGAAGTTCTACCGACGCAAGTTTCTATCAGTAAGGATCCCTTAAAATTTCAATTTTAAGACAGATCAGTATGTGGGTCCGTCTTCGTATATAATGCTCATCTTTCTTTTTTGGAAAACAGATCGGTATGTGGGTCCGTCTTCGTATATAATGCTCATCTTTCTTTTTGTGGAAACAGATCGGTATGTGGGTCAGTCTTCGTATATAATGATCATCTTTCTTTTTTTGGAAACAGATCGGTATGTGGGTCCGTCTTCGTATATAATGCTCATCTTTCCGACATGATCTGAATGGTGTAAATTAAAGTTTTTAATTTTAAATTTTTTATTTATTAAAATAAAATTTTTAATAGCTCATGTTTAATATAATATTTTATAATTTTTATAACTTAATTGTTAGATATAATCTGAACAATTCAAATATAATATTAAAAAATTTATAATTCTTATAAATTTTTATTTTAATAAATAAAATATTAAAAATAAAAATATTTTTTAATTGACACTTTTAAAAAAATTAAAAGAATTATAAGATAAAAAACATTAAATCTGAAATATTTATTGTAAATTAAAATTGTCAATTTACAAGAATTTTAAAATTATTTAAATTAAATTTAAACAGTTAAAATTGATAATGAATAAATTTATTAAATTTTTTTATAAATGTTAATATAAATAAAAAATTTTAAATTTTAAAACGTCCAATTCAACTCTGGACAACCATGTGTAAGTACTGAGGAGTACAGTAAAAAAATCCCAAATGGGCACGGGCCCCCGGATTCACGCCAATTACCAAAAATGGGAAGATAAGTACAAGAAAAAGTCAACCACACAAACGCGCGCCTGAAAATCAGTTGTCTATCATAATATATATATATATATTATAACTACTCCCTCCCCAAGACTTCAACTACTCCAAGGTGGCTTCAGATCTTGAGGCTTCAGAAAGCAAAGATCAGGCGAAAGAAAAAACATTGAAGATGGTGGAAGTAGCGAGGAACAAGCAAGTGATTCTTAGGAACTACGTTGTGAGTGGATATCCGAAGGAATCTGACTTGCAAGTAATTGAAAGTTCCATAGAATTGAAAGTTCCAGCAGGTTCCGATCAGATCCTTCTCAAGACTCTCTACGTGTCTTGTGATCCTGACATGCGAACCATGATGAGCCAGACCGGCGTCCCTGGTTTCGGTCCATATTCTCTTCATGCCGTAAGTATATATCCATGACTCTCAATTCATTGGCTTGAGTTGGCTAATGGCCACATCTGGTGATATAGAAAGTTTATATTTAGTTTCGATTAAAATTTAAAAGGTAAAAATACCAAAAAACAAAAAACAAAAAAGTTTCAAACAACTTTTGGTATGATAAAGTGAATAATAATAGGAAAAACATAAGTTTTGGTTTCTGCACTTTACTTGTGTTTTGTTATAGGTTCTTGCACTTTTTTTTTTGTTTTGAGTTTCTACACTTTTATTTTCAGTGTTTTACGTTCATTTAAGATCTATACACTTTGATCATTTTGGTCATTTAAAAATCTAAAACATCAAAAAATAAAAATATAGGAATTCAAAACACCTAAAAATGATGCAGGGACCAAAAGTTATATTTTTTTCATAATAATATATGAGTATTCATCAACTTTATAAAAAAAAGCTAACTTTTTTTCAATATAATTCGTTAACCTCTATCCTTATAATTTAATGTCAACATTAGGCTGTTTTAATGGATTGGGAGATGTTTGCTTTTTTTTTTTTTTATAAAGTTAATGCATATTTATATATTATTATTAACTTAAGAATATATACTAAAAGCTCTTTAATTCATTGATTTGAGTTGGCTATTAGCTGCATCTCATGACATAGAAAGTTTATATTTTTAGTTTGGATTAAGAAATAAAAATAACCAATTTTTTTTAAGAACTTTAGGTATTATAAGGTAAATAACGGTACGTGAATATACATTAATCTTATTAAAAAGAAAGCTAACATGCTCCAATATAATTCATTAAATTTTATCCTTATAACTTAATAGCCAATGTTAGACTGCTTCAATGGATCGGGAGTTGTTTGCCTCTTTTATGAAAGTTAATGAGTTATCCATACATTATCCTTAACTTGAGGATACTAAAAGCTTATGAAAAGTTGGAAAAAAAAAATTCCTTAATCTTTTTAATTTTATACCGGATTTTAAAGGTTGTGCTTTTTTTAATTGATTGGAAAAATATTCATCGTAGCATTGATAATATACCTCATAGAAGATGATGAATATGGTGTTAGTTAATTTATTAATCTAAATATGAAGCACCACCATGTCTTTCTTTCTTTCTTTTTCTTTTTCTTTTTTTTTTTTTGGGTTTTAGGTCAACACCACCATGTCAGTGAATATAAAATATATATATATATATATAACATTAATTTTTGGGTTAAAGGACAATTATGTCTTTATATATACTAGAAGTACCGTGGAACATCCTACACTCTAATTTGTGTGTGTGTGTGTGTGATGTTTCCCTTAAACAAGTGAAATGATGTAATGTTATCCCTAATAAATTATTAAAAAAACTTCATAATAAAATTATAAACAACAAAGTATCCGATATAAGAAAATTAATGCCAATTAAATTTTCAAAATTACAAATAAATATTATGAGATAAATATTATTTATGCGACATGTAAAAAAACTAAAATACCATTATGCAATTTTCTAGTTAATTAACGATCAAAATTAATATTTGTTAACAGTAAGCATCATTTTTTATTATTCAAAGAGAAGATTGTACAAAAAAAATAGTATACCGGATGCTTTTGAATTTATAATTTAAAGGTAAAATTACTTTTTAACCCTTTAAGAAATAAAGACAAAATAAAATTATCAAAATGTGAAAGAAATATAGATCAACCATGTGATTTATAAGATTTGTAGAGGGTATTGTGATGACTCTTACATTTATGATGTGTGGTACTAGTTTTTTTCATGCCTACCATTAAAAAAAGGAAGATAATTTACTTACAGTTTTATTTTTATTTGTTTCTTTAATCCAACTCAATCGCATCCTTTCAACAACTAAACAATTCCTGAAAGTTGTGTTGAATAAGTGTAGCCATTAACTTCGTATGGAGTGGCTAAAGTGGTCGAATCTGGACATGCTGACTATAAGAAAGGCGATTTAGTTTGGGGATATACAAGATGGGAAGAATACACATTGGCTTCTTCAAGTGAAACATTCTTCAAAATCCATCACACTGATGTCCGTCTTTCCTACTACTGCGGAATTCTTGGTATGTATTCAATCATGACACATATATCCATACATATATACATATATATATACATTATACATTATACATGCATGTATTCCCTTCAATCTCATATATAAGATACTTTTGTATGAGACTTAATTTGGTATGAAATGTATCAAAACTACTGTAATTTTCCACTAAATGAGTCCTTTAAATTATGCATAGTCATTAATTTAAAGATGATACAATGCACAGGAGAAACATGCTAGAAAACAAGTATGATAATCGAGCTAAGACCATGAGAAGGCCTATCTTTGGATACCACGAACAAGAAAGTTGAGATAGATGATCAAATTTAGGACTTTTAGGAGAATTTGTCCCTAACAACCCAATTCTTGGAGACACCAAGAGAGATGATCAGTCTCTTGAACACATTAATATTCACATAAGGATACACATTTGCAAGTAAAACTAACACAAGAGAAATAATTCTCAAAGAAATACTCTTTTCAACTTTTATCGAAAAGCTTACATTAGGCTCGTATAAATAGAAGAATGAAAGGAACACATTACCATAGAAGACCTCATTACTTAATGGTTATTTTTATCAATACTTGACAGTTTTAAACTGTTAAGTAAGAGGGTACTATATATTGGGGCTGTGATACTTGACAATTAATATTGGGGGTTTTATTTTATAATTATTTGGTAATAATCATCAAGTAGTGGCTTTCACGTTTGGCTTTTGGCTAGTTCTAGAAGCATATACTTGACATTTATTTAAAAAATAACCATCAAGTTTTTATGGTTAAAAACCTAGCCAAGTCTATGCAAATTTATTATAAATACCCGACGGTTATTTCTAAATAACCATCAAGCATTTATAGTACTTTTTTTTAATATGAGAGTTGCTTGAAGCCAATTTACAAAGAAATCAATTATGTACCAACCAACCAGCAATTAAAAATAAATCAATCACTATTTTTATTAAAATTGGCATCCAAATACATTAAAATTCTTATATCATTCCTATACCCTAAATTCAAAACCATAAAAAATCTATAATCTTAGCTAATTTGCAAACTAAAATTCCAAAACTAATTAATGACTTAAGACATAAAAATTTCCCAAAAAATTGGATTGTGTAAGCTATATATATACCTAAACTAATTATTGAGCCTAACCATTACCACTATCCATTTGTTAAACATGGCTTGGATTACCTCTTTAAAGACATCTTCTATATAAATAGTTGCATATCGAATGCAGTAATTATTAGTCTATTATTAAATTACTTTATTATTAATTCTTTATATTAGTAAAAATATCTTAATGTTTTATTATTGCTAATTATTTATTATAACTAAATAAACTAGCTACAAATATTAATTACTAAATATAAAATATAGAGGTGGCATTTTCAGTAATAATAAATTTAGTAACTGGAAATGCCACCTGTGTTCTTTTAAAATTTCAATATGTAATAATATATATATATATATATATATTATTTATTCATACTAATGAGATAAATTTTAATAAAATAATTATTTAATTTGATAAAATAAAAACATTTGAATGATTAGAAAATGCCACCCCTCTCCATTTAATTATTAAATAATATTATATATTAATTATGAATACTAATTAAATAAATTAAAATAAAATAATTATTTAATCTTATAAAATGAAGCATTTAATTAATAAAAAAAGTAAAGAAGTGGTGTTTCCCCACTCAGGAAATGCCACTTTTCTAATTTTATTTATTAAATATTTTTTTATATTAATTACTAATATTAATTAAAAAAATTATAATACAATAATTATTTAATCAATAACAGATAGAGAGTTGAAATTTTCAAGATGAGGAAATCCCACCTCTCTACTTTTTAATTACTAAAATAGTAATATATATTAATCATTAATACTAATTTAATAAATTATAATAAAATATTTATTTAATGTGATGAAACAAAATACTAAATCAATAATAGTATAGAGGTGGTGTTTTTAAACACTGAAAATACCATCTCTCTGCTTTTAATTATTAATTAAGAATATAGATATTCATTATTAATACTAATTGAATAATTATGATAAAATAAGTATATAATCTAATAAAATAAAAATAATTAATTAATGACAAAGTAGAGAGGTGGCATTTTATTATTGAAATGCTGCTTAATTGTTGATTAACAAGAAGTTGCGATATTTCATATAAAAAATGACACCTCTTGTTATTTATTAAAATCATAAATAAAAAAAATAATTTATAAGCAGTGGCATTTAATATAAGAAATGTCACCTAAGGTCTTTGACTTTAATATTAGTGATGTTTTATTTTTTATTACTATAAAATGAAAGCTACTAAATTTCATTTCTGTAATGATGTCAACACTTAAGCTCATGCAAAAGCAATAGACATTTTAACATTACAACTCCTAGGCCCTGTTTGGTATGCAAGTATGAATTTTGATGGATTGGGAATGAATTTGGTATTGGGATTAAGATTGGGATTAGAGTTGGAATTGAAGTTTTAAAAGTATGTTTAGTATGGGGTAATATTTGGATGGAATACTTGCATCAGAAATCATCAAAATACTATAATGCCCTTATCATTGACAAAAAAAAAAACATGATTTGGAAGAAGAGGATAAACAGATCATAAAGTCTGCCACCTAAAAGCCACCATTTGTCTATTGCCTGAAGTCAGTTCTCTCCTTACAAGCTCATCTATCGCTTGAAGTCGCCATGAAGTCTGTCGTGCCCAGCCCGTCTCTTCATCCTTTGATCTCATTGAAGCTCGTCTGTCGCATTATTGAGCTTAAAACCCAGTAATGGTGAAGTTGAACCTGTAACTTACTGTGGAAATCAATGGTGGGAAGAAGACGAACCTAAATCTAGCAAATGATGGCTCAAACCCATTAATGCCGAAATCGAAGTCAAACTTGAATCGGCATAATCAAGGGCATAGTGTAGTTGAGGGGCACAATGTCGTTGAACCTAGATCTCTCTACTATTTTCAATCCTAGGGCACAGCGTTGCCGTGGATGGAAATTGGGTGTCTAACAAAATTCTCCACTTAAACTAAATCTTTCAATAAACTTAGCTTAATTGAAGATGCAATTAGAAGTTTATCAAAACAAGTTTAAATGAACATTAAATACTTCAATTTCATGAGTTTATAAAACACTTGATAGAAAGCTTAAATCAAGTTTCCAAAGAACAAAGGATGTTAGAAACTCCTAGCATACATGTAAATCTTTGACACAAAGGAATCAGCAATTTGAGAAAAGAAGACAAAACCAATTTATCAAAACAAAGTTATGAAGATAAACAGAATTTTCAAAGTCAAAAATAGGGAGAGAATGAAGACCAAGTGTTGAATGTAAAAGAGTAGAGATAGAGATACTGCACAAGTTTAACTGGGCACTTGTGAGTTATTACAATCCCTTACTTAAAAATAGTGAGCAATTTTCAATCCATGCACGGAAATGTCTCTCTATGCTGAGCTAAGGAAACTCTTCCTTTAATTCTCACAAAGATAAATGAACAAGTGTTTGCTAGTAATTTATCTCTCAAAGAGATTATAGGAACACTTCAATATACTTAGATAGACTCTCTTAAACTTGAATTGATGGCTTGCTCAAATTCAAAGTTTTCTAAGCCAGGTTTGAAAATTCTAAGTGTACCAAACCAACTTTCGCAAGAATAGTTAATTCACACTTGAACTGGATTATCTTTTACAAAACTCAAGTAATCCTTAGAAAAGTCTAGAACACATGAAACCAACCTTGAAAACTTCTAATAAGTTTCATGTTTTTCAACATGTCCAACCAATTCTTGAAATAATTGCAACCAACCCATGTGTGAAGTTATTGCACAAAGAGGTCCTTCATCTCAACCATCTGAGTCTTGCACGAATCAGTCTAGCCATTGTGTGAACCAGTCTTCTAAAGAGGTATACTACCTCTCTCTCATTCATGCAAGGGCCCTTTTTCTCATTCTTGCAAGAATAAAAGTGTGCCTTGTGAGAAGGTTTTTTGCTTAAGCTCATTCATGCAAGAATGAGGTCTTTCATGCATGAAGTAGAGTTTTGACAAGAATTAATTTAATAAACTTCTCAACAAAAGTGGTTTTCATAAAATACCACTTCTACACTCAATGCAATGATTCTAAACGACTAGTTTGAAGTTTTTAATGATCATAACTTTCTGAAACTATAAATAGAACTTCATTTAAGTTGGTTGGTAACATTGAATATAATTCTGAATATTTTAAGTTGCATTAAACATTTTTCAACCTACTGCATTCATAATTTTCTGAAAAGCTCTCAATACTTGATTTACAAGCTTCTATTATATTCATCTATTCTTTTGAGAGGCTATGAAAGTTTTTTTCACTCAAAACTTATCTTGTAGAGATCTTAATGAAAGTTTTTCCTTAAGTAGGTTTAATTTACAAAGTTTTAATTTTTATGGATTTTGAGAGTGTTCAAGACTATTTTTATTCTTGTGTCAGTACTGGGATTGCAAGCACTTGTAAAGCTTGTGGACTTTAGTGAAAACTTTCAAGTATAATCTTAAAAACTGAACATAGGCCAAGTGATTAGACTAAACCAATATAAATCTGTGTGTCCTTGTTCTCAATAAAAATTAATTTCTTTACTCTCTTGAACTTCATTGTTTTATTCATTCACTCAGTTTTCATATTTTGAGGAAAAGGTTTTGAAAAATTTAGAATAACCAATTCACTCCCTCTTGGAAGCCATTCCATCCAAAATTTATTATCTTTTGTAGATCTCTATTCATAAAATTTATTTATTATTCAGTTATTTTAAATTATAAAAAATAATTTATTTATTTACATTATTTTTTTGGCATTCTCTCTCATATACTGCTTGAGATTATTTTCATAAGATATTTAAATTAGCTTCTCAAAATAATCAAAGTAGTGGAAGGGGATAGTCCCTCACAACATAATGAACCAAAATTTAAATCTCAACTAAAAAAAGTGCTCATATTTAATGCCCAACAATGCTTTTAATATGATTACTTTTGATAAAAGGACACTTGTAGGTAACAAAAAATAAAAAATAAAAAATCTGCTCATTTTTTTTAAAATTCTGATTATTTTTTAAATTTTAAAAAACATCTTAAAATTTCATAAAATAGATCTTTTTTTAAAAAAAAAAAGGCAAGTGGTTTTTTATGAATAAAGCTTAAACAAATGGGCCCAAAATTAAGAAGATCAATTGTTTTTAACTAATTTTCTTAATACTACAGTGAACTATCTAAAAATTATATGGAATGGAAATTTTTTTCAAATTAAAACATACCATTTACTATAGATGTCACTTATCTATCACGTAGATTAAAAATAAAAAAGTTCTTAGTGGCACACGTCTTGTCTTGTCGTTTTGATTTTTTTTTTTTTTGCATTATTAACTTCTACATAAAATAATAAACATTATAATATCTTGAAGCCTTGAAATGATAGAGTTTTGTATTTTTTTATAATTTTTAAAAATGTCAAATTTTATTATGTTTTTAAAAAATTGTAAAAAATATAAAATTCAACTATTTTAAAATTTTAATATATTAAAATATCTTTTATTTTATATAAAAGTGAGTAATGTAAAGAAAAATAATTGAGAAGATAAGGCATTTCCAAAGAACATTCAAGGTAGGCACATTAGAGATATCAAGTGCCATGGAAACAATATCTGACTTTTATATCATGATGATGATGATCCCAACTTTATGCTGATGTAATGCCACAATCATGTGTAGGCATGCATGGTTTGACTGCTTACGTTGGGTTATATGAAATAGGATCTCCTAAGAATGGAGATCGTGTATTTGTGTCAGCTGCATCTGGAGCAATCGGTCAACTTGTTGGTCAATTTGCAAAACTATCTGGTTGTTATGTTGTGGGAAGTGCTGGAAGTCAAGACAAGGTATACATTTGCCTCTAATAATAATTATAAATCAGGCAAAATTATAATCAGGTCCCAAATAAAAAAATTAATTATTTTTCTCAGTTTACTTACATGTCAAATTTTTATATTTATGTGATTTATAAGTAATTAGTTTTCTTATATAGGACTTGCACATAATTATTCCTATAAATTAACCATGAAAAACATTTAGCTTGCATATTTGAAGCCATCTACAAGGAAGTAGCATATATATATATATATATAGGATTACATGATAAATTTATCCTTAAACTATAAGTTCAGAGTATCTAGAACATTAAACTCATTTTTTATACAATTAATGTTCTTTTTCAACATTTCAAGATGGTAAAATATAGCCACTACTGCTAACAAATGTAAACTTTTACAGTTAGTTGACTAAAAAAATTGTAGAAAAAGACCTCAAAAATTTGTCAGTTCTTATCTATAATTTTTGGATATATTTTGAGTCCTTTTTTGTAATTTTATCAATCCTTTTTGTAATTTTTTTTATGTCTTTTTATATGATTTCTTGATCAACTAATAATCAAAGTTAACTTTTATTAATGATAGGAGTGACATTGTACTATTCTTAAAAGTTAAAGCATAATATAGTATCAAGAATGAGCTTAGGGTCCCAAAAGCTCCTTAATTTAAATGGTAAAATGGAATTTGAACTAATAAAGTGTTGTTAATTGTTTCTTGTCAAAGGCCCCTTGGCCTGGTAAGTAATTCCAAGCCTTTAAATTTGACCATATCTTTTGCTTATAAAATTGAGAAGAGAAAGCATACAAATAATTATGAAAAAAATAATTCCTTCTCGAAAAAAGTATCTATATTGTTTACATTAATTAATCATCCTGTCTTATGATCATATATAGGTTGATATACTGAAGAATAAATTAGGATTTGATGAAGCTTTCAACTACAAGGAGGAACCTGATCTAAATGCAGCATTAAAAAGGTCAGTATCTAATTTTTTTTTTTTGTTGACTGAAAGAAGAATTTATATATGTCACTACACTTTTTGGTCCAATTTATGAGGCAAAGAAAGAAGGGTTTTTGGTCTTATTTATAAATTATGCCATTTAATTTTTATCACAAGTTTTTCATTTTACCTCCCATCAAATGTTAGTAGGAGAAAATATGTTATTAATTACGTATATTTGATAAGCATAAATTCAGAAACTTATATTTGCCAAAAAAATTAGAAAACTTGTTAGAGTTAATGAGTTTTAAAGTTTTCTTTAATTTCAATAAAATATGTTGACAAATCAGGTACTTTCCAGAAGGCATTGACCTTTACTATGAGAATGTTGGGGGCAGGACACTAGATGCAGTGCTTTTAAATATGAGACACCATGGTCGCATATCTGTGTGTGGAATGGTTTCACAATATAATCTTGATGAACCTGAAGGTGTAAAAAATTTAGCACAAATCTTCTACAAGAGGGTTCATATGCGTGGATTTAGTGTAATTGATTATTATCAGCTCTATCCAAAATATTTGGACTTTGTTCTACCTCTTATCAGAGAAGGGAAAATCAAATATGTTGAAGACATCGTTGAAGGTCTTGAGAATGGCCCTAAAGCTCTGATTGGCCTTTTTAGTGGTCGCAATGTTGGAAAGCAAGTGTTGGTTGTTTCTCACGAGTGATGAACTTGAATCTCTTTGTATTTTTTATTTTTGGGGTTAAATTTTAAATTTATCCTTAAGTTATAAGTCCTGAAACATCTAGAGCCTAAACTTGTTTCTGATGCAATGATATCTTTAACTTTAGAAAATATGCCAATATTGCCTCTATTGTTAACAAATGCTAATTTTGATCGTTAATTGATTAAAAAATTACAGAAAATGATCAAGAAAAATTGGTCCTCTTTTGTTATTTTTAGGTCCTTTTTTTGTAATTTTTAAGTCTTTTTTTATAATTTTTAATTAATTAATGATCAAAGTTAATTTTTAACGGCAAGGATAATATCACATCATTTTTGGAAGTTTGAAGGGAAACATTCAACTAAAAATGAGTTTAAGGTCCAAAACATTACAGGACCTATAATTTAAGGGTGAAATTACCTTTTTAACCCTTTCTTTTTAATGAAAGTGTAAGTAACACCAATAAATTTAAATCATCCAAATCTAATTTGAATAAGCGAAAGCATGTGTGTCTGTAACTGGGTCTATTATTTTTGTTTTGAGATGGTTGTAGACTTTCTTTTGATCCTTTTGCATTGATCTTGTGTTAAGAATGAAGGTGTTATCGTGTTTTAGTTTCCTTCTTTGCGTATGCTGCTGCTGCTACTTTAATTTGTTTCTTAGAAGTTTTTCATAAATTCGAATCACATATTTAAATTTGATTTGAAAGATTTGAAATTTACGTATAAAGGAAGATCCATTCCCAAAAGGCCGGGCTGATGGAAGACAGCTTTCTTCTGTTTCCAAATTTGTGTTGAATATGAAGAACTCTGCTCATTTCTTGTTCATTTGGTATTAGGATTAAATGACAAATTTTTAAAAATAGTATAATGTCATCCTATAGGAACAATCAATGTAGATCTCAATTGAACAATTGTGAGAGTTTAGACAAATTTACCCCAGAAATTTTACTAAAAAAACAAACATCTTAAACTTTCGATTGATACAATATTTTTGACTTCTCAGCACTCAAATCAAAATAAGGTTGGGTTAGAAGTTGATTCTTTTTCCTTTTGTCTTTTTTTGTATATCTATAATTTTTTCAGTTTTTTAGGATTTACAAATAATGATTTTTAATTATTTATGGACTCTATTTTATATTTTTAAAATTTTAACTTAAAGTTTAATATTTTTCCTTGAAGAGATCAAATTACTCACTCAAATATATCATAAGATCCAAAAAAAAATTTAAACAATTTTCTTAAAAAGTATCTAAATATAAATTATGTTATAGTAATGGACTTTTACTCTAACTTTTGTTTGCCAATTGTAGTTCATGGAAGCTTTAGTCTTGCAAGGCACATGGTATCTATTTGGTCATTTGGAAGGAAGCCTTATAGTCAACGAAAAAGTTGGGAAAAAGGGTCATATGATATGGCAAACCGCTCTCAAGACTAATCATGGCTTTAGTACAGGCCTTGTAAGTAATCAAACATTTAGAGAAAAATCTTCCTTTCAGAATAATTAGTAAGTGTTATAAAATTAGAAGAAATATAAGAGAGATCTAAGATAAGAGAAATGAACAAAACAAAAGAGGATTGGAGAGAAAGGAGTAGTAATATTCATTTCTCATATGTCTCTCCAATGTGTAGCACATGGCCTTTATTTATAGGCTCCAACCTCACTCAAGAGTTATAATTAATTGAATAGAAAAATTAATTCACATCAATATATAAAATATAACCTTTTAAGTTTATGAGTATTAAATATAAAAAAAAACTCCTAAAATCATTCATTAGAGAGGTTATAGAATGTAGGATATGAAAGACCAAGAGTTGGGAGAGTTTATAAACATTCACACAATATAATATTTATAACAATAAGCTTTATGAAATATGAACTCTTAAAAAAGTAAATAACAATACAATGAAAGTATAAACCAATAACGTAGAAAACTTTTTCACATATGATGAATCCAGTAGGTAAAAAAATAAATGCAATCAGTTAATCTCTTGTCCACTCATTTAAATGAGATTTTAAATATAGTATGAGGATGATTATAATCATTAGAGACCTCAACTAGCTATCTGGAGCCGTTGTATAAGAATAGAAACTGAGCAAAAGCACTTTTCTTATGAAATACATTAAATTCTTGTCAAAACTCAAAAACTCAAGTGAGGATGAGTAGGTCAAAAATGTTAGATATGACAACGCATCCAAGAGGTGGTGAATTAGGTTTTTGTGAAAATTTTGGTTCTTTTAAAAAAAATTTTAATAAAATTGTGTTCAAAGAAAAGTTTAGGCAAATTTAAGTTTTAAACTTTACATGTAAGAATGCTAAAGTTATTTTTGTAAGTTCCATATGTGTAAGAATGTTTAGAAACAATTTCTAAGTGCATGTTTAAATAAATGCATGTAAATATACCAAATTTATATTTTGAAAACTAAAATAGAGCATAAACTAAGGTTGTTGGAAATATAAAGAGATAAGAAAAGAAAGATTATAAACAATGATTTATTTTGGTTCAGCTCCACCACTTGAACCTATATCCAGTTTCCAAGCAACTACTCAAAATTTCTTCACTATAACACAAGCTTAAGTAGATGCTTACCATTATAATACAACTATAAGTTTAGTTCAGACATTTGTGAGCCTTTATAACAACTCACTTTACTAGTAAGCTTCTTTTTCTAAGAGAACGACCTCTCTTGATCACAAGAAAAATATCTCTCTCACCTTTATAATGATTTTGAATATGTAAATCACTCAATTGAAATTATCTCTAAGAGTAATAATGAGTATAATAAAGGTCTAATATTCAAATGATGAATAAATGATATTGGCTCAAGAACAATAATTTTCATATAATAAGAGTAATATGAACATGAATTTTATAGCTTGATGATTTTCAAAGTTAATCACTTGTTAAAATAAATTTAGAGTGTTATATTTATAACTCATGGAGTAAAATAGGTGTTAGAGACATATGATCGTTTATAGTCATTGCAAACTAATTATAGCTATTGGTGACATTTCTTGTGTGGAACAAAACTTATTCATGTGTGAAATGGAGCTAGCCAAGTTTCAAATAAGCATATGTGACAATTTAAGTGTGAACACTATAATGATTCACACATGTTTGAAGGATAAGAAATGCCAACCATTTTATGTGACAAAACAAGCATGTGGCCCTCAGGTTCTCACACGTGAATTAACTGGTAAAATGGCAAGGCCAATTTTATGTAATGAATCACACGTGGGACCAACTCACTATCATGTGTGGAATGGCTAGTTACAAAACCCAAACCATTCTAAAAGACAAGCCACGTGTGAAATACTCTAATGCACACTTGTGAAATGACTAATTACAAAACTAAGCCATTCTAGAAAACATATCACATGTAGAAATCATGTGCATTCAAGCAAGGATTGCATGATTGAAAAGACTCAAAACAATATAGGATAAATCATACAAGTGTGCAGTAAGAAATAGGCTTATAATGGCTTAAGACTCACTTAGATAAAATGTGTTCAAAAGACTTAGTAATAAAAGACACATGAATACCTTCTCATTCAAGCATTAAATGGCACTTCATAATATGCAAAGGAAAACAAGGTTACAACTCAAGCATGTGTACCCAAGGGTACCTTGCGTGGATTGGACCATAGAAGCTTTATTAAGGAATCACACAAACATAAGTGATAAATCATGCATGGATCACTACTGATTCAAGTGTGAAACGTTAGCTAGTGTGTCTAAGATGACAAATCATACGTGTGACCATACTGAATCACGTGTGTTTTGGAAGTGTCACTTCATATAATTTCATAAGGCTTTAACTCACTTAATACACTCTAAATGTAACAAATTATACATTGTTGGAAAGATCTTAAAGTCTCATTTTCAATGAAAAAACTTTCACACTTAAAATACACGTAAATTTTGAGATATGATCAAAATAGTAAATGAATGTCAACTTTAAATGATGTGTAGCATTAATATCTTAGCACTAAATTTTTAAAATTCATATCTTTTTTAATAGAACTTCATTTTAAATGAATAAACTATCATTAAAAAGATGTTGGAGTCTATTTTCAAATGAGATATGTTTCATATTAAAGTAATTTGTGTAGTGAGAGATATGATAAGAAATATAACCAAAGGTCAAAACTAATTTTCTGAACAATTGTCATTTCAAAGTTTAGATTTTAAGTATTCATGACTTTTTTAACTTAACTCCATTTTAAGTAAATAGAATAATTTTGAAAAATTTATGGAGTTAGGAGTTAGTAATCGAAACATTTTAAAATTTATGCGATATATGTGATCAAAGATGAAAAATCAGATTATAGAAAAGTATATCTTACTCTTTCTCTTAAGAGTTAAAAAACATGTTTTGATTTAAAATATTTTGAGCTAATATTGCATATCTAAATCAATGAGTTTAACATAAAGACTTCTAACTTAATAATATTATACTTATCAAATCCAAGGCTTTCAAGGCTCATTCAAGCTTGTATGAATGTCTTTATTCTTCTTAAGCTTTTCCTAAATCATTCTCCTCTTTATTTTTATTTCTTCAATCACGAGTGTAGCATACAAATGATGACTTCAACTTTCTTCCCCTTCATGCTTACTCTCATCTTCACTTTGGACAACTTTAAATGATATATTATGAACAAAAAGGTTAGTACAAATATCTATTTACATATATTCAAGTTATGAAAGATGATATGATGAACACTCTTAGATATAAAATTAATTTAAGATAAAGAAAAATATAATAATATAGAATAAATTTGATGCATACAAATTATTTTTTAAAATCTCATATAATATGAAACAACATAAGTAAAACACTTTAAAGCACTTGTTCCATAGTCATGGTTAACCATTATATATATGTGAAAATAATTAGGCATAAGTATAATGTAACAGTCACCCCCCCTCACGGCAACCAAGCTGGCTTTCCCCATGGTAGTTCATGGGTTATTCCCCGCACCCACTGCGCTAAGGGAGCCTTCCCAGGTTCGATCCTCCAACCTCTCCTACATAGCGAAGTTGAGGCTGAACCTGGTACCATTGAGTAGTTGACTCAATGGTACCAGGTTCAGCCTCAACTTCGCTATGTAGGAGAGGTTGGAGGATCGAA